TACGCACAGTTTTTGGGCCATCGACTTCTTTCAATATTTTTAGGGGGAATCAGGTGGGATTTTCGGTTTTTTGGGTCTCAGATTAAATTTTCGAGCAGGTAATACTGTTTTGTGTAACTTGATTTTGCTGTTTCGCACGAGTAACTTTTATAGAAACGGCTGTAAATTGGATTCAGAAACAGATTTTTTAATTTCTACCCAAAGGCCTAGTAGCATGATTTAAAATCGTATGAAAAATGACACCATAACATGACATAGCGTTTTAAATGGTGCATATATCTTAAAATGTAACATCCAGTTTTTACTGGTTTTGTTTTAATTCTCTATATGTTTATTGGTAAGAGAGGATGAGCCTATAGCTAACATAAAAGACATTATTGAGAGACACACTCTCCAAGCATAATAAAAAAAAACATATAAAAGAAAATAACAATGACATAGCTCTTCTTCTATTTTCCAACCGTACAATCAAAGCGAATCCAGAATACAATACACATACCGTTAAGAAAACATTTAATATATTTATTGTCTAAAATGATAGGTATTATAAAGTACCAAGCTCCAGTTTCCCGTAGACTGCAATTAAACATAATTCCTTTTAATCATAGATTTGTTCGCACAATTTATTTCGTATTTTACAAAGAGAAGACATTTTGAATTGAAACGTACCTACAGTAAAATACAGTTGAAAATTAAATAACAATTTATTATGTTAACGAATTAATTAATACCCTTTCGCTATCAATAAATTCAAATTTATTCCTTCCAATCCTCTGAATTTAAATATTTGTATTAATAAACTAGATTTAGTTAGGATTTGTTCAGGTAGCTTTAGATATTTTATTGCTAAAAATAGAACTACCCTTTGGTATAAGGCACACACGGGTTCTGTACAAAAAAGTTATATTATTAGTTCCTTTACAATTAAATTAGGTTTAAATCAATTACAAGAAATTCATCCGTTAAAAAGAACAAACAAAAACACGGTTATTAAAAAATGAATGAAATCAAATCAAGTACAACAAAAACAAAAGATTTCACTAGAAAATTTCTCGAATAATAATTGATAAATTATTACAATAGCTAAAGGATTAAATATTGGCAACCGATAGCACATAAAATCCAATGGCACACTGCACCAAAACTCAGTAAGCTCGCCAAAAATATTCAGTCAGAATTCAAGGCCTCAACTAAAGCGAAAACACAGTTGTGCACTTAAATCATGCGCGCTATCTTTTGATTAGCATACATTGTTATGCACTGGCCACCGTCCTGGCGACCAGATTGCATGCATCTGCATAATTTTGTTTAGAACACATTGTGGGCACGCCCACTGGGCCGTGCGGCTTGTAATTGTTGTTAGCTTTTGTTGTGCCTTCAGCGACGTCTTTTGCCAGCCTATTGCACGGTACAGCGATGACGTCACGGCAGTTACAATTTTAGTAAAAAGGTTATTACAAAAATATAACTACTTCGTTAAGACTTGAACAGACTTCATAATAAGTTTTATAAGAAAAAACGAAGATTCCCAAAGATACTTTAGCTTTAATTCATAATCTAAAATTTACATTCAGCTGAAATAAATAATTCAACAGATAGATCGCTTTTCTGAATAAACAGATATTTTTTACCTTCAATAGTACGTCAAAAACCAGGGTAAGCACGACTCAAAAATATTCTCCTTCACCAAATATGATATTCATGAAGCATAAATAAAAACGAAACAATATGAAAAGGAAAAAATGGGAAGTGTTATAAAAAGTGGGGAAAGATTTAAGAACACCCAAATATCAAATATTCACACCGTGAATCAAACATAAGCAAAGTAAAACAAAAACATAAAACCTTGAGACTGAATTGTAATCCATTATGTTTCCAAGAAAAACAAACTTGTCTAGACGCACCTACATTTTCTCAAAGCTAATATGAGGTAGGGGAAATAAAATCCGAGCTAATAAAAGCCAGTAGAAGCTGAATAAAGCGACAATGGCGCAACTAGGCGAGTGCTGGTACATCCGGGAACGCGGTCGGGTCAAGGTCACGGCCCGCGGATCGATGCAGCTACGACGCCCGTGCTACGTCCCACTACGCCGCCCTCGCCCCCGCTACGCCGCTACGCCACTACGCCCGAATCTCTAAATCCGCCAAGTTTGCGTTCTCAGCGCTTTTTAATTCTGCAAACCTGAATTCGTTTGCTGTTATTGACGTCATAACATGTTGACATCCAACCGCATATTGAAAATTTCAAATGAAACTAGAAATTAGTGCTTACGAAATACCTCAATTATAGTAAATTCGATGTGGTTATGTTGGCATCCAAGAATAGTAATGAATCTTTTTTTATTGCGCTGACAAAAATTGTCGTACATCATAGTCTTAGGCTGATTTGTAAGGCTTTGTGTATCTGGTTGTATAATAATATCCCTTTGGTACAGCAGTCGGCGATAAAAAGTCCATACCAAAATAACCTTTATAATATTTTAATTTTGTCCCGTAGCTCTTTTATTCGCAAAGCCTATTGTTCCTCGCGCCGTGCCTCACAGCTATCTCCTTTTGTCCACCGTTTGCTTTTGGTAAAACTTTTAAAGACACAAAGAATATAAAGAAAATTGACTAAAATTAATTTACAGAACACTTTAATGACAGCAATTTATTTTTTATTATTTATTATCTAGTCCCACGTAACGTTAAAACAAGCAATTTGTAAATTTTCGCGTAACAAATGAAACAGTGACCTTAATAAAAACGTATGTAGGTAGCTATTAGAATATCGACTTTTAAAAGGCCGCCGCGAGCGTGAGATAACTAATGGCGTTGTTCCAAACTCACAAAAACAAAAAACGCCACAAAAATGATATATAGAACGCCCGGCACGGTCCAAACGACCCTCGTTACATTAGCAAAACAACTTTATAAGCTTTGCGAATTAAAAATAAATCTAGTTAAATAATAAATGAATGTTCCCTGTTTACAAAGAGCTGTCAGATATTTTGTCAGTCTGTAATCTTCTATCGGTCGGAGATTACATTGAATAAAACATTTGATTTTCCTGAAGTAGCAGGTGCTGTTGTCTACAAGTACTTGGATGCGATAGATAGATCAACATATTTTTGGATTCGAAACTAGCCTCAAACACAGTTTTAAGTTACGCTTAAAAATGTGTTTGAGAGCTTAGTTTGTTATCATTTCTAGAGATAAAAATAAACTTAAATAATAATAATACTTACATATTTCTTCCTAGATCATACACAGAAAACCAGCGTGTAATGACCACATAACACACTCTTCCGTTGTTGCAGGTGTCCATGGGCGGCACTGATTGCTTACCATCAGAAGATCCGTTTGCTCGTGTGCCATTGTGTCACATAAAAACAACTCAACAACTATTTTTTGTTTTTTTTAGCCTAGGACTAGTCTTCTTTATCCTTCCTGTGCCGTGGATGCGTTAGCAAAATTGTAATTCCAAATGCTCACTACATCCGAATACAGAAAAATCATTTGTGGATTACACTATGCTATGCTATATAGCTTCTGCGTCAACGGTGCAGTAGTTTTCACCAGACTAAATACAAATTAATGCAAATTCATTTCTAAAGGAAAGCTTTACGTCTCTTCAGTATGAATAATTTGATTAATTCATGTGGACTTCAAGATTTAAGAATCTTTGTCGATTCCCTTAATTTTTGTTAAAATGATGACTATTTTATTTTCATCCGATACGATCATAATGTACTGACTGTCGATTCACTATAACGTAAAAGACGCTGCTGTATAATTAAAAGGTATAACCTATCCAGTTTATAATTACTCCTGTACAAAGTTATTGAGCAATTTTTGTAGTTCAATGAAATTAGGAGCCGAGGACTATTCAACTGAATAATATTACTGTCCTAAATAGGAACAGGCTTTTATTGTTCGATAATGCTCCAAACATACGTCATCTAAATATAGTTTATTAGGCCTGCGTGCTGAAAGATCATTTATAATTCGTATCAGCTGTTGACTACAAATGCATCCGTTCATACAACCCTGTCACGCCAATTCGTACACCATGGCCTTGAGGGTGACTTTATCGCCATAGCGAGCGACAACCTCTTCTGACTACGGTCATGGTCACCGTACGACCTCTGCATTATACAGGAGATGTCCGCTCACCTCCGGAGCCGGCGCTCGAATGGCCTTCCACAACGTTGAGCTACCGAAGGGTGAAGGGGAATGTTTACCCTCCCACTCGCCCCCGCCCGTGCCAGCTGAGCAGCGGCACGCTATATTTAGGTTGCGCTGTAAATATTCGGTCCAAGTACGGAAAAGCGCCCGCCTCCCTGGCCGGAGGTGGGGCGGGGAGACGTAGGTACGCTCCTGCTACATAAGCGGGTAAAAGTTGAAAGTTCACCAACGCCCCGCACACGAGTTCGCGCTGTTAGGGAACGCTTCTTTATTTAAATTCTATTGCAACTTGTTCGCCATTGTAGTCTCGGCTGAATTCGCAATGCCGACTCTAATTTTTCAATGTTGGCCGAGCCTCGTTTTTCTGTTGTGGAAACTTGTGCAATTGTTTCCAGGATTTCAATTTGGCGCCGTTGAATTTCGACACGTATTTGAATGGGTTTTATGGTTATTGCAGTTGCGGTCCAATTCGGTTGAAACAAGCTTTGCAAATTATCATTGCAATGACGACGATACGTTGAACTGGCGACTGCTGCGATGTGAAATTGAACACGAGTATCTCTTTAACAAAATTGAAACGGATTACTGTTTGGGTGATGGGCCGTTCGCGTGCCACTGTAATTTGAGCCCATCATCATCATTTACATCTGTCATACTACTATTACTATACCTACATATGCTAGGCTGAAAGCTTTTGGGTGGATAGTTCATTAAATTGAAGTTATTTCATTAATAAAACAAAAGCATTTGGAAAAAACAAAAGGTATTATTAAATAGAAATTAAAAATACATTTAAAAACTAAGCGTTGACAGCTGTTATTCATGGTTTCTTTTTATGTCTTTGTGGTATCGGTTGCAGTCGAAGTTGGGGATTGGGGTACGTCTGTGTCGGGAGTCTGATCAGTGGATGAGTACATGCTCTCGTCATCGTGATATATGGTGATGGTACCGGCAGGTGGCGGCTTGGTGTAATCGTAGTCAGCGTCGATAGCAGTTTGATACTTCTCTTTTTGTTGCTTGGGGTCATAGAAGGAGACTATTGTGAAGGCACTGGAAGTGCCCGCGAACGCTATGCGCTCTTGGTAGCTGGTGACGGCGAGAATAGTGCCGGGGCTCGGATAGGAACACGTTATATATCTATTGTGAAGATTTATCACTTCCAGGCAATTAGTTCCGCTCCCACCAACCAGAGCGTACTTACCTTTGCGGTTGTACTGAAATAATATTACTTCGTTAATGAATTGTACGTACAAAGAGACAATTAGTCGGGAGAATAGATTTGCTTATGTAAGTACCAACATGTAGTGTATAATGGATACAATAATATGTTCATAATTAAGGTACATTTATGAGCTTTGATGGAGCGTTTTGATAGAGGAATATTAGATGTAAATTACTCAATTATACGTATTCTAGATGGAGTTAATAATAGTTTGTAGGTTGGTTTACAGGCCGAGTAATGACGACCTAAATATACAAATTAATGAATGAAGTGCTTTCAACGGAATCTAGGTATTTTCTAGAATACTCGTACCTAGAAAATTTATATAAGTGAAATATCAAACGGCCAGCAGATGCGAAATACCTAATAAAAAGTCAACTAAACATGGTTTTCAAACATCCCTACATTTTTCTAAAACGTAAATTCTACTTTTTATCAACACGGGTGACTTTCACCTGTATTTTCAAGTACATAGAAATTACTTTAGTCTAAGGATTGATGAGTAAATTGGGCTAGTTGAAAATCAGTCAATTTGGAGACACAGCCATATAATTTGATTAGTAAAGAATTTATTCAATCTAATCTATAAAGCACAGGTGTTCAGTAAACTTATTTGATTTTCTACAAATCAGTTCAAACGATCCAAAAAGAATTTAAATTCAAAGTTATAAAATATTTATCTCAACTTTTTATTTTGTAGGTCAAATGAATTACGAATATGTTTGTGTATTTTACAGTAAAAAATATAGAATATTATAAACAAAACTGTGTAAAACAAGCAAAAGTATATACCTATTTAATCCTAAGGTTGACTGGGAGAGAATGCCATATGGCATTAATGTCCGCCTTATGTACCATCACTTGTTTTGTTTACATTAAAATTTAAATAAATAAAAGTAAAATTTTAATTATTTTAATATCATTTTTGAACTGACATATGTTATGATTATGATGCAAATATGTACACTACAATATTTTTTTTCAAAAACAAATCATGTTATTACTCTACATATTGGTAGTAAGAAACATCGCATTTTTCTTGTTACCTGGCCTGTCAACTAAATAAATTTTGAATATCGAATATATCGCAATACAGTTCATCACACTCTTAAACCTGTTAAACATATTTTGGAATCCCTCTCTCAGAATGCGGTAGGTACCTATTCGAGGAGCGAAAGAATCAGCAACCGACCTCATACGTGATATTTAAGAAAAACTACCTACGTTCATCTGTGTAGTGAAATAATATTGAAGAACTAATGGAAATGTATAAACAGAGATTTCCAGAAACCTTTTTGGTCTAGAATTTGGGTTATCTGGACTTTGGACAAAAGTTGGTTGTATTTTTTATGTTGGGAGTGAGATGGAACTTAAATAGCTACATTGAGAAATATAAATTAAGTATTCAAGATATTTCTGTTTTGTTCACCAAGACTCAATACCAATACCCTTTTCGATTTCGTACGAACAACTAACTAAATAATCTCTAATAAACGAACTGTATCGAACACATATTCCAAAATTAACAAAAATATGCAAAAGGATACTCGGAACTCGATCTCAAAAATCAAACAAAACATGTCAGTGAAGGATAGCAAAAACTCGAAAATATTGCCAATTTTTCGACGAATACCGGTGAAGCATTTCAAAATTGAATTAACAACCAACATACGCAGACTGACAAGTGTATCTGACAGGCTGGCAACCCTGGGAGTTATGCCGTAATTGTATTTTCGTACCAAACAAGAATTTGTAAGGCTTACCTGTGAAGATAAAATTGGACGAATTTCTGCAACACTGATATGGATTAAGATGGAGATTCCATTATTTAATTAAAATATCATGAAAAGATTTCTATGAATTTTTAACCAAAGAACTTAATATCAAGAGGAATTATTGTAAATAGCCTACAGAGTGTGGAAACAACAATTTTGAGAACATCAGTAACACTAATTACCATTGATATGATAAAGAAGACTAAAGAAAGGAGTATCAAACTTTATCAAAACCTTTAATGTTTATAATTACTTCAATACAATTATTGTTTTAAACCTCACGAAACATTTATAGGGGTAGGGGGTAATCTTTGGAACCGCTGGTCGGATGGCCAAAATTCTTTCACTGATAGATAGCCACAAAGTTCTTGCGTGCTATAAAACAACACGCTACGATCTAATGGAGCTGAGCAGCGGGTAAAAAACCGCGCGAGAGTAGCAAGTCAATTAAAATAGCAACATTCTATTTGAACAATAACATATTTTCTATCAAAGCCAAACATCAAAATAACTTGACTATTTACGATAAAATTTCGTTCTAATTTTAATACAAATTGCCAGCGACCATGTTAGAAGTTTAGCTACAATCTAAAACGATAGCGAAGTAAAACGACAAAGCCAACATCGTGACGTTGGGGTTATCTCAGCGAAAGTTAAACTAGGTTTGCGAAAGTAGTTGACAACTGATGGAAAATTTCATGAGAGAGATCGTCCAAATTATTTGTTAGTCAAAAATATTGGTCGTGAAATATATACTGGACTATGATCGCTAAGCCGGATAGAAACGTTCTATTTCGCTAAAAATATTTGCCTACGCAATTTTTCGGTTGAACTGATTTCTACATTTTGTGTATGCAGTAACATTTGGATATAAAATATTGTTTATATTGGACAGTAATTCTCTATTGTGTCCATATTTGGTTATCATCTACCACCTACCCTTATGTCAAGTATGGGGATTGACGCAAATGACATCATTTTCGTCATCATCATTAATCAAAGTCATTTCATCACACACCCCTTTCCCTCATATTACTTCACGTACAATTCATCTGGTATGTGCATATCTGACATCATATTTGCATATTATAAGTATGCAGCTATATCTATCTTCATTTCCGCTCTAATTTCCTAGTCTTAAATCACTTGGACCTTCGTTTTTAATTCATCCTCGACAACCTTTTCATTTTTATCATCAATATAAATACTTTATACTTTCGCCTTTACTACTTTCATATTAAAACTTATTGTTCTTATTTAAATTATTTTTTCAAACAACATAAAGTTTTTATTCCAAATCTCTGTGCGCATTTGTTCAAATACTTCCATCCAGATATTTGTCGAATAAACGAATATGTATAGTGTAAAAGGAATTCTGTGTATCCGAATATGCGATGTGCACTGAATCGATTTTGACAACATTTTCACCGGCATACCGATGGAAGCTTATATCTTTTCTAGCTTTTATTTGTATCGGCTATAAACTTTTTGTTCGTTCCTCATAGAAATAACATTTTTCAGCTCCAAACTCCAATATCGTGGATTATTATTAAGAATTCGTGTAATGTATTAAAATCTAGTTGATTTCGTTTTAGATAGAACAGTCTACCAATGCTGGTACCTACATAATATACGTCTAGTTACATTTACAAAGATATGGGGATCTATAACTGCTACCACAACATCTAATCTGCGTATGAATTCAACAATCTATTTTACGAGTTAAAGGGATAAATGGCACACGAGTAAGATTGTAATCGATTCGCATAACGATCGTAATTCCCTACACTGAAATTATCCAGCGAACGATTCAAAATGTCACCCTCAATAGATTCTTATTGTCATTGGGACAAGAATCCTTTTACTCTGACAATAAAAGGTATTGAATATACATACATCATAGGAACGCCAGTATCGACAAGCGTATACATATTCCCCATCAACGTCTGGTCTTCGATTCTGAACCTTGATGAAGTTCAACAGTTTTTTCGCAGACAGATCCCACACACTGACCCCATCAGTGGGCATCCAACTGCCAACTAGAACGTGTTCTCGCTGTAAACAAAGAATTTATGAAATAAATAAAAAAAAAATTTTTAAACTAAATATCTTGCACTGCATTTCTTCTTGTCTCTTTCTTCTTATAAGATACTAGCGGCCCGCCCCTGCTTCGCACGGGTCTAACTACCTCGCTATCAAAGGGTCACTTTTTCCTAATCTTCCCCTCTATTTTGCTAATAATTTCCTTGAATAAGAACCTTCTCCTGGTGGTAACAAACACAACAAAAAAAGCATTAGCAAAATTGGTCCAGGCGTTGTTGAGTTATGCGCTTACCAACACATTTTGCGATCCATTTTTATATATAAGATAAGATTAGGAATAGTTTACTGACGGAAGGTCAGTTAAGTATTAAAAAGTAGTATAATATGAATTATTCCTATGTATACATATAAGTCTTACTAGTTATAAGTAATTATTATGCATCAAACCGTTTACCTAAATCCATACTCAAAATAAAATCTACCACTCAAATCTAATAATAACCAAACAATCACATGATAATTCAGTCACAGTCAGTTTGAATCTATAAAAAACCGATTTATTTTCAATTGAATGTCAATCTATTTGTAAAATAAATCGAATCCTTTATATTATTGTTACTAATACAACCTTCATCGTGACCTTGAATAAAATACTACACGTGTACGCCAACAATACTAACGCAAACCCGAAACGTATACCCAAAACGCGTGTAAATCTTTCCCCTTCGGAATTGAGATAAAAATGTGGCATATTACTTTTGTATTGCACATTTACCTCCCTTAACATAAAGTGAGGGATGTGAGTGGATAACGTAGGTTACATAATGACACAAGGATAGCTTGAAGCTTAAAGATATTTGTGAGAAAATGGCGCCAGTGACAGTATGATAGCATATTATATTTTGGAGAAGTTTTGTATCATAGTTTGTTTTCCTTTAAAGCCATACATAATATGTATTTTACTGCTTTGTTTTCGATAGTTAGAATGAACATTACAAGGCTTGTTGGTACCTTTTTCATAGCTTATCAAACACAGGAACAAAAGGATCACCTGGATAAACGATTAGCGCAACCAAGCGCAACCTATAGACACCATAGCAGACAATAAAATTGTTGCTTTTGGATTGCTGTAGGTAAAACACTGCTCCATAATGAAAAAACAACCTAATAATTGTTCTGGCCCGAATTTCATATTAAGCCCCTGATTCATAATATTTTTTTATCAATCTACGAAAATCCAAAAGGCCTTGCGATTTTACCTATAATTTTAAGAAGCCAAAATCTATAGTTTGCCTACGCTAAATAAACTTAACTGCGGCCATCCTTGTTTTATTTTAATGTCAATAAAAAAAGTTCGTAACTACCGATACGTTTACGCAATGTTCTAGAAAATCCGAGAGTTCCAGAAAGTTCCAGTAGGTATGAATATACCGTGAACCGTTCCGCTACTATCCTGCCTGTCAAATGTCAAAATACGGACGGTCCGATCAGTTGGAGCCGAACTTTAAATGGATTGAAGCGGTTTGACCTGTTTCTTTTTTTAGATCTGACATTTGAAGACTATATTTCTTACCAATTAGGAATTATGCTGGCTGTACAGTTAAGAAATTACTATCTTATTTACAAAAGAAGTGATGGTTTTCTAGTTTTCACTGCTTCACTTGCAGAAATGAGGAAAGTAGCACCATCTATTAGCAAAGCGGGGAACTATTTACTATAGCTACGACAGGGTTGTATAAGGTACGTATATATTTACATAAAATGTGTGTACATGTTTCAATGACGTTTTATTCGAAAATGAATGAATTCTTCCAACTACCTCATTAGGCTGGTAAATGCAAACTTGATTGCTGAGCTCAAGATTCGTTTGAGTTGACATACCTATTAAGTACTAAAGTTTTTTTCACAATGACGTGTTTCGTCAAAAAAACTGATATCAGTAACTATTCCAATAACACCTTAATCATTTTAGGAATGAGAAAGGAAAGTAACAAAGTTTGGAGCCTCTAAGTGCGGGAGAGCAATGCTTCGAGTGATACCACGGCCTCACAAAAAATCGGCGTGTAACAACCACATTACCACAGTATAGTGTTTCGCAGTGTGAGCAATCTACCTTCGAAAAAAAAATCTCCTCTCCCTATCCCTCCCTAATCCCTTATCCCCAAAAAGTCGGAAACGCACTCGTAACTCCTGTGTTATTGCATGTGTCCATGTGCGGCGCTGGTTGCTAAACATCAGGTAATTCTTTAGCAAAAAAGAAAAGGAAATATTTACCTATTTTAACACCCAAAATAATATACGGTAATAATTTTATTACTCAAAAGGATAATATACAGTACCAAGGTAGGGCAGCTACCGCTATTTATTTTCCTAAAAAGACTTTCAAGGGCACACGAGTCTCACAATAGGCACAACTGACATTGATAAATTAGTAAAATTCTACATTCTTTTGAATTAAACCAAATATTTACTTTGGTTAAGTTAAAAATACATACAATGTTTTGTGTACCTACGTAATAGGATAAAATGTTTTCTTGATCTTAATATAATATTCTGTTTTTGAGATTTTTCCTGCTTTATACTATAAAGTATCTTCTTATCATTGGTTGAGTCCCCATTGGCGGAACCCAAGAAAAGGATTTAAATTGTCTTGGTAAAAAACTTTTGAATAGTGAGATTCTTATCGAAAATTTCTCAACAACAATTATTAAGTACATAAGCTTCAATTTTTCATCAGTCTTTAGGCTACAAGTGGCAAATTTTGAATATCACATCGTAGAGATACCTGCACCCCTCTTTATCCTATTAACGTATCAAAGACGTTTCGTTAAGTCTACATGCTATGAAAAACATTCAAAAAACCGCAAGAACTTATAATTAAAAAAATATGCACCAGAGTATTCCACTACAAAGCAGTATTAATACCTACAATGTTCACAAAGTTATACCTCGTACTATGGCTTTACAAACTAAAAATATCGGCAGCCTCTGCAATAATAATATTCTTCAAAGGCAAAGAACAACTATACAGGAGCATCAAACTTCATAACGAGGTACAGTCGGGTGCAGAAACATGTTACAAGGTAACATGTGTACAAATTTTATTTAAAATTTGTGTGTTTTAATACTCATTATTTAGATTGAGGTAGAAAAGGTAAGAAGTCATCAATTGGGTACTTGACAATTTATGCAATATTTTATTCGAATTCTAAATTCGAATAATGTATTGCATAAGTATGTATAGTAAAAGAACTATGGGAACAGTGCTTGCGTTGTGACATCATATTTTTGACGCCAAAGAAGCATACTCATTTCTTAATGGTCTTCAATCTAGAAAAATATTTATAACACACTACTCGTCTCCGGGTTGCGGGTGTCCATGGCATTGTTTAATATCAGTTAATCTGCCTGCTGAATTGCCGCTCTTATCTTCTATACCAATATAAGATTTGTATATTTTTTTATGTAAAAGTTTGGCAAACGAGCAAATGAATTCCCAAATGGTAAGCAATCAGCGCCGCCCATGGACACTTGCAACGACGGAGGAGTAACGAGTGCGTTGCCGACCTTTTGGGGATTAGGGATTTGGAGAATTTGGGGATTAGGAGCCTCCGGTAACCTCACTCACACGGCGAAACACAAAGCTGTGGTTGTTTCATGCCGGTTTTCTGTGAGGCCGTGGTATTACTCCGGTCGAGCCGACCAATTCGTGCCGAAACATCTCCTCCCACACTGTATAGAAGTATTAATTAGGTATACTACCACTATTGGTTAAAAAACAACAAAGATGCATTAGAAGATTTTTTTTATTGTTAACTAATAAAATTGTGTCAGTATTTCTGTCCACGATTGTACAGCAACGGCTTAGCTGTAGATGAAACACCACGAACTTCCACTACGACAAAGCGTGAGTTTTTAATTAAAAAGTGACTTGTATCGCTGCCTAAGACCTGTACCTGTGTGGAATTATTTAGAACCATATTATTTTGTGGACTCTTATAAAAATGGCAGGTGCTCTATTTTTGTTAAAAATTGTCGATCGACAATTTTTCCAGCCAGTCGCTCTCTTATCGAGATAGGCGTCAGAAAGTATCTACAGCGTGATGAAAAATGAATAATATTCAAACATTTCATTAAAACAATTTGTAAGTTTAGGTATCTAAATAGAAATAGAAAGAAACGTCCCAAATGACAAACTGATTCACATTAGTTTTTTTAGGTTATTTAAATGAATAAATGGCACAAATGAATGTGAATAATACTCATCATCAAAAATAACTCAAAATATCATTCATACAAATTCATTTTCAAATTTTAAGGTATGTACCACAATACAATACATTTACCTAATAAAGAAAAAATTGATCTCTACCTGTTAAGATTTACCTATGAAATCATGTTTAAAGGCATATTTTACCATACCTCTTGTAAATTTTTAATATACGAGTGTAATACTTCATAACGAAAACAGTATTTAAGCCTTAATGTATGCGTATTTAAGTCCACATTACTTATTTAGAGTGAATTGTGCGGTCTTTAGCGATGCTAATAAAATTATGACGTGCAAACGATTTTAAAACGAAAATTAGAGTGTTTTAAGATTTAAATTATTTTATATGGCTGACATTGAAAGACGTTGAACACAGTTTATTAAATACAGCACTTAGTTCACAGATTAGATAAGTGCGTTGGTTTTTATAGAGAACGTTATTTGCATAATATTATTCTGCCTAAGTGCATTTATAATGAATTTTATTATCATTCATCTAAGAAAGTTTTTAAAAGAAGACTGTTTATAATATTTAATATTCTCAAGATGTTTATAATACAAAGCCCACTTTGAGAAATTAACCTATACCTAAGTACCCACTGCTGAGCGACATTTTCACTCTAGTCAGCGGATTACCTACGCCTTACCTCACTGGGTTTCAGACTCGATAAGGTTATCGAGCCTAAGATCTGATCTGAAGAACGAGGTGCTTTTTGGTCAGAATTTACTGACTAAAAACCAATCTATTTCTTCTCACGTTCCAAGCCAGGCTGTGGTACATCATTACGCTTGCAATAATCCAGGTTATAATTATTTTCCGTTCCAGAATTTCTCTGTAATTGCACGGAGTTAGGAATGTGTCCGCTATATGGCAATAGGGACATATGTACATAAAATAATTCGTGTGAAATTGGGGCTACTTTTAAACAAACAGATATCATTTTATTTACATTACCCACATAATATCTCAAACACAGCTACTCTTTATGTAATAACGTGTGAGTTTGAAACTTAAGCGAAGATAGCGGACCCGCATGGACGTAAATCTAGGGAGAAATCTTTGTCGTATGAACGAAAGTTTTCGAGTAATGTGAATTTAAAACAATGTTATGTCACATCTACATGTCGGGATTCCTATTTTTTTCTTGTATCTTTACGTACACAAAGTCGCAAATATTCTACCAATCTGTAGTTCTATACAAGTTAATGGAAAAATATACGTAGAGTTTTATAAGCTATAAGAACCAATAATACAGTATTCCAACTTAGTCATATAAATAACACCTTTAACCACGTGCTAAGGGCGACGGGCAATTGTTCGGTTTGACGGCCGCATTTTTTCGCCATCGACCCATGCGACAATATGTCCGTCCTCATCATATAGATGGTTGGCAATCAACGACTGTGCGATTTTTACGGAACTTTCTGTCTCACACAGCAAAACTTTAGCGGCGGTATTTTCGAATCGACCCCACCTTTAAAATCTTCAAGAAACTAGCGTATTCCTTATTAATGCGTAAAGCGCCTGTAACTCCTCTGGTTTTGTAGTTGTCCATGGCATTAATCATTCACCATCAGGTGATGTGTATGCTCGTTTGTTTCCTATTCAATAAAAAAGCACACATATTACAATAAGGTGGTAAAAGGTATAATATAATACAATACATACGTTTAAATCAATAGCATCACTGCGAATGTCAACTCCTTCGAAGGTCATGACACAACCAACTTGGCACCTTATGTCCCAGATCTGTAAGTTGAAAATCTTTTATTAAGTGGTTAATTCCTTAAGTACTGTATTGTCTGAATGGCAAAGGGAAGTACACGAAAGGGCCATTCATATTTTCGAAACTAAATGCAAGACTTTTGAAAACCATCCAACATACATTTCCAAACTGAAAATATATAATGGTGTTTTATTTTATCTCTGAAGCAAAAAGCCATTCGTTAGTTGCGCTCACTAAGCACCAAAATACCATAGTTTTTGCCGTATGAGTGAGGTTACCGGAGGCTCAACCCTTCCCCTCCCACAATCCCTAAATCTCCAAATGCCTAACCCCTAAAAGGTCGACAACGCACTCGTAACCCCTCTGTTGTTGCGGGTGTCCATGAGCGGCGTTGATTGCTTACCATCAGGTAATCCGTATACTCGTTTACCGGCCTATTACATAAAAAATACCATATTTCAATACCGTTTAACAGTATTTTACTAAAAAATACATTATCTAAAGATAGATAGTCCATTTTAAGTCTAGCAAACGAAAAAAAAAACTACTCGCAGTTTTCTCATTAGCATTTTCTAAATTGACTCTTATGCACTTAAAGTTAGAAACTAACGCGGTAACTTACACTTGCATATTTTCTTTCCAGTAAACTTACTTTGAGGAAGTTTCATAAATTATTTAGCCCCTAGTTTTATAACACTTACTGGCATTTAGATTATATCATACTTCAAGAACTCTTAATTATCTACATATTAAATAATACTTTCTTAAATCATTCAACAATATCTGAGGAAATTTTTTTATTTCTATCCAATAAAAAACAACACTTTTTCAGTTATCGATTTTACGATTTACATATATATACATTCACACATAATATGCGTTATGTTTGTAGTTAATTTAAAAGAAAAAAAAGGTTCCCAATTTTTTATCACGTTTGTCACGAGTCGAATACGATGTTTAAATTGAAAAACAAAAACACTCAATTCGGTCAAATTCATAAAAAAGTAAGATATTGACAATTCCAAAAAAAGGATTCTTCAATAATTTTAACTTTCTAAAACATTTATCTAAACTAATATTAGAAATGCGCAAATAACTCTGTCTGTCTCTCTCTGCTTGTCTGCATTTTCTTCACGCCTAAACTACTGAACCGATTTCTGTGAAATTTGGTACAGACATAGTTTTGGACTCGAGAAAGGACATAGGATAGTTTTTATACCAAAAATCTGAAGGAAGTCACTATTGCACGCGAACGGAGTTGCGGGCAAAAGCTAGTTTTCCATAGACTGTTTTTACAGAAACTACAAGCAAAGTAGATAAGTTCGTACACGATAATTATTGAACAAGAAGAGGCCAACTTATCCTACCTTATTAAAAAAAACTGTATAATGTCTGAACTATGTAGATGTAAGCCAAACCTTATAAATAATTTACCTATTTAAACCTCTTAAGTAAAGAGAATCCTTAAGTGGTTAAAGCTTTTACATGACTATAATATTAATACGATCCGATGTAAAATAATTTATTACGTAAAAAAGTATAAGGTTATATCAGTTCAATGAATAATTCCATTATCTAATAGACAGGTAATTTTAATCCCTTTCGGATTATACGCTGGTTTTAGCGAATAATAAATTAATCGTTTTTGTTGCGTTAAAATACATTATATTAGCTTCGGTAGGTTCCTGTTTCGGATCCAGCGGGAGGAAACGCCCGAGTGTCGTCATTATGAGGACCACCTAGAGGATACGGTGGAGCATACGGTAGCGGTATGCCCTGCCTGGGCTGAGCACCGCCGTATCCTCAGGGAAGTGATCGGCGGAGGAAACCTCTCGCGCCCGGCCTTAGTCGAGGCCATGGTGCGGAGTGAGAGGAACTGGGACGCTGTCTCCTCCTTTTGTGAAGCAGTCATGCTCGCATAGAGAGAGGCGGCCCGCGTGAGGGAGCAATCCTCCTCCTCACGCCCCAGCAGCCGCAACTGGCGACACTACGGGCGTCGGGGATCGAGGGACGATCTCCGGCCACCGTAAGCACGGGCCTGCGGTCGGCGAGTAAGGGCAGCTCGCCGCCCGACCAGAACCAGGCCCGAGCGTACGGCGCGTAGCGTTCCGCGCGCGCCTCAAAGAGCCATTCGACCACCACAGACGGGGCCCTAAAGGGCTGATGTTCAGCCGGGGTTGCGGGGTAAGCGCAATGAGGTACCGCGACCTCGGCACAGAGCAGGAGAAGGAACAGGGGGGTTTTTAGTCAGTAAGAGTCTGACACTCCCTCCTGCCCGGCCCTGGGCGTGAGAAGTCATTCGATGATTTTCCACTCACAAAAAAAAAACATTATATTGACGTACCTATGTATATTAGTTATTTTACTAGTTTTGAGTTACATTATTAAAGTGATTGTAGCATAAATCGGGGTTAGCATGCCTAGCCAAGGTTTTACGGTAGCGCCTATTAGGACAGGCCGCTATGAGTGAGAGCTGCGAACGAATTTGATTCCCCATGAGATAAGGGATACCAAGGTTGGTTTTTAGTCTGTAGCCTGTATGGTTTTAGTGTAAGTTCGTCACTCGGTTCTTCTCCCTATAGGCGAAGGGCCTTATGACGATTTTCCACCTGATGGGTGGGTGAAAAGAACATACAGACCGGTTTTATATAGGTATCACCTGATCTGGTAAAAATTAAGGGAGCACTATATTTAAGATTGGATGTATTGCGGCTGATATGATGCAACCGTAATTTGCAAACATTCTGAGTCAAATCTAGAAACTGCCAAATAGTTCGTCCACTTTGAATCTCTCATTAAAGACAAATGACAACTACTTAAGAATTAAAGAAAGTACGTCCCGAGTTCCCGACCGACAAGAAACCGCAAGTTAGATTAAAAATCAACAAACGAAACTGAAGAAATGCACATCTAGTCTAGAGTACGGCGTAATAAGAATAGAATATTCCATAATAACAAGCGAACAATACTCCTGCCGTCTGTTTAAGCGCGCTTAATAAATAATTTGAGCAGTTAACCGCGGAGAGGAATATTTTAATCTCGACAGAGATGCTTTGAGTCTGTCGGCGGTCGTTGTCCGCTATGTTTAATTCAGCACGTGTTTACAAGCGTCAAGTAAGTTACCCGCCCCACGTACTCGCCGACAGTAGATTCGTACATTTATAGGGCGACGACAGTGCGCGTGGGGGTATTAAAAAACTATCACCTGAACTGTTTATTTCAAGTAATTGTTTGTTGTTTCTACCTGTTTATGTGTGTTGGGTATGTAGTACGTAAGCTATAGTAGTTTGTGGAAGTATTATCTAAGCAATGTAGATGTTCCAAAATTCATAATATTTTTTTATTGGATAGGTGGGCAAACGAACAGACGGATTACCGGTAACCTCAATCACACGGCAAAACACAAAGCTGTGGTTGTTTCACGCCTGTTTTCTGTGAGGCTGTGGCATCACTCCGGTCGAGCCAACCCATTCGTGCTGAAGCTTGGCTGTTTCACATGATGAAATTTCATTGATGTTCTTTATTTCGAAAGGCTTACTTAAATTTTATCTGGTACTCACATAGGTACTACTTAAATAAAACCTCTTTGAATTAGTTTTTTGTGCACAGCTGTAGGAACATTGTTGCCATATATTGCTATTAATATAATTATTTTTCAACAAGAAAATCAGAGGTCCACAGGTAGGTTACTAAATAAATCCGCCAAAGAGATAAGCCTGTATTACAAGAATATCTTTTGAAAGCATTACGCAACTGAAAGTAAGATCAATGTGAACACGCCATAATTATTTATATCTATACTACATACATACATATATGCTATCTACGAAAACAAAAATATAGCTACTAATTTGTCCAGCTTAAACGGAGCATGACAACACTTTGTTCGTAGTTAATAGGCGTGACGGCCAATGAAGACAACTGTGTCTTCTCATGTTCAGGAGTTTTCACCTTCACCAAGGGGAGTCAGGGTTTAACCGTTAAACGTTCTGCGGTCAAACTGCACCCCACATTCTCAAAGTTATACCTACCTGTAGTTATTGCAATTTTTTCCACCTCATAACAAAGTTAGTTTCATTTCAAGCGAGTTTTGTTTCAGAAACTATTTTGTTAGCGTGTTAAAAATGTTTTTGTAAATCTGTTTAGTTTTTTAGGACGTCGAAAGGTTGTGTTTTTGTTTGTTAAAGTCATTTTAATTAATATTCTGTGAAGAAAAAGTTTGGTCTTCAGTAACTGTGGTGTGGTCGCTAAAGCTCATGATAAAAACGAAGAAAATGAAAGATAGCACTGATGTTTTGTGTCTAGTTCTTTGGGCTGTTTTTTTAATTGGAAATTAAAGATATACCTATATTTAACCTAGAAAGTACTTATTTCGAAGAATCACAAAGCAAATGATTAGTGTAATCTGTAATCGTTGATGACATTAACACTGTAAGTAGGTACCGGGTTTATAACGGAGATTTGCTTAGGTGCATTCATCATCATCATCATCATCATCAGCCTATGAATGCCCACTGCTGAGCAAAGGCCTCTTCTCATACGGAGAAGGTTAGAGCATTAATCACCACGCTTGCTCAATGCGGGTTGGCGATTTCAAACTTATAATTAGAAATTACAAGTCCAGGTTTCCTCACGATGTTTACCTTCACCGTATGTCAGTAGTGTCTAAATAATCATAGAAAGTACATATAACTCGGAAAAAGTCACATTGGTACTTGCCAGGTTTCGAACCCACACCCTCATGCATGAGAAGCGGGCTCCTTAACCTCCGGGCCACAACGACAAATTAGGTGCGTAATTAATAGGTGCATTGTCCTTTCCAAAATAATTGATTCCTTAAAAGCTATAGAAGAAAGTTTGAAACAAATAGTATTGACTTGTCTCAAGATATGTTTTGCTGTTTACGTACTGTTTAATATATTAAGTATTACTACATACACAAATATAGGTTTACAGTTCGCATATTTAATTCTCAATACATGCTTACCCTCAGAGTCTTATCCCAAGCTCCACTAGCGAACAAGAACGGTTTCTGTGGATGTGTCCTCAATGCAACCACTTGACCAAAATGCATTCTCTGCAGCTTCTTGGGGATGAACTGAAGTCGAAGTTTGGGTACTTGGTAAGTAGTGTCGGCCTGTAAACGAAAATAAAATTTTAGAATACGCTTCGCTTTCGCTTGTCTGTGGAAGCTTAACATGTGAGGCGATCACGGAATAGAAAATACAGTGGAAGTGCCACTCAGACATCGCGCGCTAATCAACACGATGTATAGATTTACAACATTTTGGGACATTCGCTGTCAGAATCGTTCGCTCCGTTGTCATGATCGGTTGTCATGGTTGTCTCTAAGAAACACGAAATATATTAGAAATTATGCCTTGTTGTGCGGTTTTCAACTGCAAAAAAGTAAGCAGAAAAAAAAATGTGTCTTTTGGTGGTGTATCGTATCATCGTTGAGTATTAACCTTTGTTAATTTTAAATATATTTGATTTTAATGAAAATATTACATTTCATTACTTCAATGCAAACTATAAAGGGCCTTATTTTCATTAAAATTAAGTTTAAATCTACTTGTTCGTTATGTGACGTTATATACAATACATTCCAGTAGTTTCGACGCTACTCATTTAGGGATGGGACACAAACAACAAACAAATTAGGTTCGTATCGAGAATTTTTCATCATCATCGTTCAGAAAATTGATTTTTGACAATTTTTGAGTGTAATTCATAAATGTTTAACTAAGATTGCATAGACACATCAACGTTTTAACCACACACAGCGTGCATCCGTCTGTGGTAGGTGCGGGTGGTTAATCACCATTTTTATTTTATAATGTTGTACATGATTTTTAACAGAGTTACAAAAAGGAGAGTGACTCTCAATTCGACCGTACATGTTTTTTTTTTTTGTTCGTTCATCTCCGTTATTTATGAACCGATTTTAATAATTATATTTTTGTTGGAAAGGATATAAAACTTGTAGGAGCGCGTAGTGCTTTTATATGTTAAAATCGAAATCTTTAATAATAACTTGACCATCTCCAAAAAATATTAAATCGTCAAAAAATGTTAATATTTTTCTTTTTTTTTCTATTAGAACCTTATTCCATTACTGATTATTTGTAGGTATATCGTGTCGATAAATTACATAATTATATTGCTCACACGAATACAATAAATAACATCGATATATTGGGATACCCTGCCCTATCTGAGTAGCAAAATAGTAATGTCTATTGGTACAAGTGCATACAAATATGACATCTATTTCAAATAGATTAGCGTTTTGAATAGAATGAATTTGTTACAGCGCCATCTAGCATTGAGTGGCTGAACCCGTTTGTAAATTGTTTTATTTAAGTTTTTTACACGATAGACGCCTTTATTGATTGTGACATGTGAAATGATAACAACTTTCGCTCATTGTTATAAGACTCAATTTTTAACAACATTTAGAAGATGATTTGCTAAAGTTGCGTTTCATCTTTTTACCCAATTATATAGCTGTTTTTTATGTGTGTAATGGACAATTTGATTTGCGAATGTGTGATTTTGGCGACACTTGTTTTCCTTTTGAAAGAGTGTAGGGGCACTTCTACTTAATTTTCTGTTCTGTGGAGGCGATGGACGTATTTTCAGAGAATAGGCCAACAGGGTTCATGTTCGACGTCGGGTCAAGCGCAATAAGGTATCGCAGCCTCGGCCTAGAGCACGAGAATGAACGGAGGGTCTTTAGTCAGTAGGTAAGAGTCGGACGCTCCCCTTAAAAGTCATATGATAATTTTTCCTACCAAAAAAAAAAAAAAGATGTCAGAGAAGCCTCTGGCAACTTCACTCAAATGACAAAATTCCAAACAATCGTTGTTTTTCACGCCAATTTTCTGTTACTGTGTAAAACTGAAAATTTCCAATACATAAATCCAAATAACGCTTCAATATTCCCTTTGGACGTCTCTTGGAAATGAAACAAACAAAATTACTACATACACAGATACCTACCCATTCGTACCGATACCATGTGTGACAAACATTAATAAACAAAAAGGCTTTTTTTATTACATATTTTATTCAGTACGCTACGAGTTAACGATTCGTTTCTCCAATAACGTTTAAAATATCCGACCCAAAATTTTAATGTCAAGGCCATCAAAGTTATAATAAAACCAATGCAGGAATGTCAAATTTATTACCACACTCAACCAAGATTAAGCCGTAACGTTTACTGGTGACATTTTATGCGCACTGTTAAAGAACACTGTAATTTTCTGCGGCAGTGACAGGACTTACAAGATAATGTCGTTTTATTGTCTCAATTTTCAAGTTGTTGCAAGTTTGCCTGCCGAATCTAGCTTAGTTAGGTTAAATTACAGTTTTTCAGTTTTTACCGTATACTAGATTTAATTTTGTCCAGCAAATTGTGCCAAATCTCAGCGACATTATACTAGAAAGCTTTTTGGCGTCTTTATTTTAGTACCTCAGGTTTTTAGCCGACGAGAGACGATCTCCGGCCACCGTAAGCGCGGTTCTACGGACGGCGAGTAAGAGTTGGTCGCCGCCCAACTAAATCCAGGCCGGAGCGGACGGCGCGTAGCATTCCGCGCGCGCTTCAAAGAGCCAATGGACCACCACAGACAGGGCCCTATAGGTCTGATATTCAGCCGGGGTTGCCGGTTAAGCGCAATAAGTCACCACGGTTTCGGCCCAGAGCAGGAGAAGGAACGAGGGAGGGGGTTAGTCAGTAAGAGTCTAACACTCTCTCTCTCTCGCCTTACCCGGTTGCTAGTGCAAGCTGGGGTTGCAAATGCAAAGGCAAGTGCATTATTATGCACCACGGCCCTGGCCCAGAGCAAAATCAACGGAGTGGTTTTTAGTCAATCACATATTATAAAACAGAAATTTGATGAATTTCTTCCTCAAAAAAATACAGGTCCTTAGCGAGTCATTTTTACGACTTCTAAACAAAATACTTAATGATAAGTATGTTTAAGTATTCACTTTATTATAAAAAGTTCACAGATTGCTTAACCCTGATTTAAACTAACAGATTTACTTAACAAATCCTACTGTACCTAGTGTATTAACTTAATTATTATAAAATTATGTCGTTTCTCATCCACATTTTCTCAATTAACCTCGACGAATTGCCTATTGTCAGCCTTGATTAAATTTTATGTTCCAGACTAGGCCGTGTACATTAAATCCCTTTAATTATAAGCTCAGTGTAACTAACAATTTGTAAGATAAACCTTAGTAATTGGCTTTGAAATTTTATTGTTATGACTGTATTGTAATTCTATATCTCACTATCTTGTCTAGTTCTTGCCCGCAAGTTACAGAGGGCATCCATTGTTTCAAAGATAAACTTTCATTCCATGAATTATCTGTTAATCCTTGAAGTTATTCTGTTTCGCTTTATTCGACCTAATAATTAATATTTGGGTTAGTTAGGGTATGTACGGCGCCTACGTATTGGAACTTTCTCGGCTAAAGGGTAAGGGTTAAAAATGGCGTTGGTTTTGCTCATGTTTGTTATTTAACGTAAATATTTGAGCGTTAAAATTGTATTTCCAGTAAAAGTAAATGCAAAATAAGTTTCTCTTTGAAGTAGCAAATAGAATACTGTAAGTACGACCCATAAAACGATCTCCGTTATTTAGGCATGTACCAACAAATAGATGGTTCCACTTAGCAGCTTTTTGACGGATAGGACCGTCATCTTTTTTTTTTACTTGCTATAAACTAGTGCTTGACTGCGATCCCACCTGATGGTAAGCAGTGATGCAATCGTTGATGGTAAGGCGCACTAGTTTATTAAGAGCCTATTCACTCTAGCCTTGAAGACACCTAAATTATATTTGGACGGAAAGACTGCAGCCGGCAAACTGTTATCTACCCTGGTTTCTGTGGTGTGTAGAAGAGATGTTGCGCGATGTTCCTCAGGATTAGGTCCTAGGACAGCTCCTGTGGAATACGAGTGCTATTGGGTGCGATTGTGTACTACGCACTGATCTTCCCAGCGGCATCAGCGTGGACTGTTACGCTGTCGAGCCGCTGGTGCTGGTGTAGGGTAGGTCGCATTAGGCGGCGACCAATTGGACGTCATAACCAGTTATCGAGTAATCTCAGCAGTTATCGAGAGCCTGGTAACCGCAAATAGCTGGGACTCGATGTGGCGCTCCACAAGTACAAGGCCATGTGTTTTCATGACCACAAAAGTCCTTTTTTTTGTCAGGGGAAAATCATCTAATGACTTCTCCCGCCCAGGGTAAGGCGAGAGAGAGTGTCAGACTCTTACTGACTAAAAACCCCCCCGGTCCTTCTCCTGCTCTGGGCCGAGGTCGCGGTGCCTCATTGCGCTTACCCCGCAACCCCGACTAAACATCAGCCCTATTGGGCCCCGTCTGTGGTGGTCTATAGGCTCTTTGAGGCGCGCGCGGAACGCTACGCACCGTACGCTCGGCTCTGGTTCTGGTCGGCGAGCTACCACAAAAGTACTTGTGCCCTGAGAGTTTTTAATTTACCTAATAATACAAAAATAGTTTTTTTATTTCTCATTTGATCACTGAGATCCAGGAGATGCCATATTTGCGTATTAATATTAAGGTGAACAAAGAAATTGTTAGGAATTGTAGTACTTATTTAGCCTTCTAGGGCTGTACCTCAACACGAGGCACCAGATCTTGTTTTCTGGAATGGGGTCACATATTCCAGAAGAATACAAAAACTGATCTAGCAGTTAAATGAGTCGATTATTTGGGATAAAATGATTTAAACATAGAAACAAACAAACAAGTAAATTCAATAAAGAAATACGTGTGCCGTACGTTGTAAGTAAAGAATTAAATTTAATACTCGTAGATGTAGGTACCTACTCTTTTAGCTTTTTACCTTAGCGAAATAACAATAAAAATACCAACGGATCGCATTTTGCTTTTAGAACGATCTTCTTTGTCGAGAAAGTAAATATTCGCCTCAAAATGTAATAAAATATCGAATGAACATAAATTTAGCTAAACACAAAAGTAAATGTTGAAATCACTTCTTCAGAGTTATCTATGTGTGGACTTACAGCCGTAGTCTTACTCTGAACAGGTAAAAGTTTATAAATTTAAATAACTACATGGATATCTTTTTGTCAGGGGAAAATAATAAAATGACTTCTCCCACATAGGGAGGGAGCGTCAGACTCTTACTGTCTAAAAACCCTTCCGTTCCTTCTCCCGCACTAGGCCGAGTGCCTCATTGCGCTTGCCCCGCAACCCCAGCTAAACATCAGCCCTATAGGGCCCGTCTATAGTGATCTATTGGCTCGGGTCTGATTCAGGTCAGGCGGCGAGCACCCGTTACTCGCCGTTTGCAGACCCGCACTTACGGTGGCCGGAGATCATCTTTCGATTCCCGACGCCCGGAGTATTACCTACTGCGGTAGGGGAGAGGAGAAGGTTAGCTCCCTCACGCGCTCCGCCTCCTTCTTTGCGAGCATAACTGCTTCGCAGAAAGAAGAGACGGCTTCCCAGTCTCGCTCAGCACCTGGCCTCAACTAAGGCCTAGCGCGAGAGGTCGCGCCTACTATATGGATATCCTTACTTTTTAAGGGGAGAAAATCATCATAACTTCTGAGTTTCTGGGTTGAGCCAGCCCGGGCTCGGGACCGTGGCAACTTATTTCACTTGCGCCTGCTTCCTCGCTTCCAGTATGGCTTCATAATAATTATAATAAGACACCACGTGTGGTATAATAAAAATTAGAAACAGATATATTCAGTTTCGACGCTCAAAACAAAAACTTATAACTTCTAGATAGTTGTACCATATGTACAAGGAAGCTTATTAGTAGATAAATATTAAAAGGTACACATAATTTCACTTTATAGGCACGTTTTAGATAAAATATTAAAAATAAAAAAATTAACACACCTGCTGGGTTTCCATATTATAAACTTTGATTGACGAGTCTGCATAGCCGACAGCCATCTTCGTGCACTCCGCCAGTACACCCACCGAAAGAGCAGGGCAACGTTCTATTGGGAAAATCAGGAGGATTAAACGGTTCCCATCTCTGTAGAGTTCCACCTAATGTATAGTTACCTACTTTTATGCTGTTAAACAACGTCTGATTAGTCGCTATGTGCCACATAGAATAAAGAAAGTAATTTATAAGAACTATGTTTTTCTTTATGTGATGGGTCAGCACACGTGTAAACGGATTACCTAATGGTAAGCAAAATCAGAGGAGTTACGAGTGCGGTGCCAGACTTTTGGGGATTAGGATTTCAAAAATTTTGGACTTGAGGAGGGATGGTGGAGGGGAAGGATTGGACCTCCATATGGTACGTTAATATATAGGACACCTTAATAAAGGTGGTGTAACAGATGCAAACTAGCGAGGCCACCGCATTGGACGAGACCTACCTTAATTTTATGCAGGGTAAGGTATTTAGGACTACCAGGACTACCAGCCAGTTTATTTTATTGAAAGCAACAACTTTGTCACGTGATCTTATTAAGAAAAGCTCTACCTATTACAAGTCACAGCGGGATTCATATTCATCATAGCGCAACGCAACTCAATAAATTATTTCAGTTACGCTGAAGTGCCTTTACACAAGCCAATCGTTATTTTCAATGAATTCAGTAGACCTAACTACCTTCCTAAGTAGCTTTTACGACAATGATCTTCTCTGTGGCAGAACTAGACTATCACAGGGAGATCTATTCATGAAGTTAGGACCCTTGATATGGTTTGACAGCATTAATTGCATTTGGGAATCCAACTGCACACTGCCGACTGTGGAACCCGGTAAATCGAGATGGTATAACCAACGCTTTCTTGCAACCTGTCGGAGAACAGCGTACCAATCTAAATGTTACGTATTATAATTAAAATTGACAAATCTGGATTGGAAATGAGTGATGATATCCCACCAACGTCCTACAAATATCGAAAGAGGAAAAGTGATGATGTGCTATTAGATATGGAAAAATGTTGATTGTATTTGGATTTAATTTAAAAAATAGTCTACAACAATCATGAAATAAATATCCAGACAATAATACTTTTACCCTGGTACCGAGCTAAGCTCAGACGTAGGTGGCAGAAGTTGGTAGAACCAAGTATATTACTAACCGTTAGATATTTTGATCATCAACAACAACTTTTGGGACTCAAAAATCGGACTCGAAAATGTAGTAGATGTACCTACTGTAATCAGTATAAAACAAATTCGCTTTTTTGGCCCTATAAATTCATAAGTATTACAACTTACGTGTGACAAATGGCGTCGCATACAAAGATGTTCCAGGGCTCCCATAGAACTGCATGTTGAGGCTCTCCAGCATCGGATCAGCTTTGATACAGAACCCGGGAGGATCCTCGATTGACGTGTCTATCTTCACAAATAAATGGACAATGTTAATCAATATCACCGACAACCAATTGGACTTGATTTATGTCGGCGTGCCCTTAGAATATGGCTTTGAAACAAGCGGTAACGGCGGAATATGTTACGTATGTACTACCTTTTTTATGTGACAGGTCGGTAAATGAATCCGTCTGCCGAAATTGGCAACGCACTCATAGTTATGAGTGCGTTGCCAATTTAGTAGTCCATGGGCGGCGCTTACCATCAAGTAATCCTGATGGATGGATCCCATGGACTCCCGCAACAACAGAGGAGTTATGAGTGCGTGGCCGATTTTTTCCGGATTACGGATTTGAAGATTTAGGGATTGGGAGGGGGTAAAGATTGGGCCTCCGGTAACCTCACTCACACGGCGAAACACAACGATGTGGATGTTTCACGGTGGTTTTCTGTGAGGTCTTGGTGTCACTCCGGTCGAGCCGATCCATTGGTGCCGAAGCATGGCGCTCCCACATATAAAAATGATTGTCGGAAGACACTTAAAAAGAAACGGTCTTAAACAAAATAATATACCAATTCACATCCCATACCATTATAGTAGGTACCTATGTATCGCTACCAGTCCAAATTTCGCTTATTTCGAAGCCTCACAAGAACAATTTCTGGTCAAAGGCTATCCACAAACCGCTAGGCCGGTAATACCAATGGGAATCGAGGATAACATTTTAATCTTCGTTATTCCCAGTTGTTATTTGCTACATCGCGAACGGAAATGAATTCAGGGGCTTTTGTATTCCAATAAATAAATAAATTGTGTTTGATAAATTGTTCTCACTCCGAAGTTATGAGAGTACAATTCTGTAGGAACAAGCGAAAGTTGATTAATTGCCGTAATGCCTAAAATTTTATTTTAAGATTGACAGAGACAAAAGATGCCCTAAAAATATGTGCATGTGGTACACAATTTTTTTAGGGTAACTTTTATACACAATATTCCTGAAATGCGTACCTACTATTTGAAAAAGTACCTACAGTGACAGGGTACGTTGACATACAAATACTTTAACATGCATTATTACATACTCAGACCCGAAACAACAATTTATGGATCACATAATTTTCGTTTACCTAGATATCGGATCGTGACTGCACAGTAATCGATCGATCGATCGCTACATTACTTTGCTCATCGACCAGTCCAGGATCCGTTCAAACAACAAAACACACACTCTTCAACCTTAATCAAATAATTCTAAGGCTCAGTAAATTGAAAACCTGAATTCAAACAATATAGGTTTCCTCAATTTCAACAAAAGCCATTCAATAGCCATTGTCCTACTAATAGATTCGAATTCATAATTCACATACTTGCGGGATCTCGATCCGGTATACGGCTCCATCCATGCAAGCCGCATAGCAGACATTCGGTTCAAAAGGGCTGTATTCCAAAGCATGTACCGGTTTTGGCGGGAACTGAATATTTCGCAGCGTGCAAAGGACTGTACCAGTACTGCCATGACGCATCTGAAATTTCGAAAGCTTTTTATTATTAGCTAGATGTTGTCCACACAGGGAATGTAAACGTAAAACTTACTTACTTTACTTATATGTCTAACTTAATAGCTACATATAAATCTAAGCTCCCCTTTTACTACCTAATGTGACTTCATTTCGACTGCTCAAATACACCTTAACGTAATTGAGTAGGTTTACGTGTGGGAGAGCCATGCTTCGGCACGAATGGGTCGGCTCGACAGGAGTAATACCACGGCCTCACAGAACACCGGCGTAAAAAAACCACAGCGTTGCGTTTCGCCTTGTGAGTGAGGTTACCGGAGGCCAATCGCCCCAATCGTTAAACATCCGCAATCCTTATCTCCAAAGGGCCGGCAACGCACTAGTTACTCCTTTGGTGTTGCAGGTGTCCATGGGCGGCGCCGATTGCTTACCATCAGGTAAACCGTCAGCTCCTTTGCCGACTTATCCCATAAAAAAAGGTAACCATTTTACCAAATAGTTAATGTTTCGTTAGTTACTTGTAATTTGAATAATGTTGGCACATAATTCGGAACTGTGGGTGCTTCGTTTGTATTCAAAGGGAACGAAAATGCTGCCTAGCAGTAATTACAAACATACCTATAAAAGTTTTGATGGACACGATCGTTTCTACAGTTCGTTTACCGTACATCAAAAGGCTAGCGAGTAAAATTGGCTTTCTATAGGTACTTGTTATTTTAGGTTAGCTTGTAATATTATCCGTTTACTTTCCTTTATTCTATTAACTTTGAAGCTTCTCTAGTGTTTGAAGAGCTAAAACAATTACCTAAGCTCACCTCTATCTCGCCTGAGGCATGCCCCACGATAATATGATATCCGTTTGGCGAAAATTGCATGGACGTTACAGCACCCTTCTCCGAGCTAAACCACCTGTTCTGCAAAATCTTATTTGGAGTGCCCCGCAAGAATGTGTCATGATTCTTGTTGACCCATTTAAACTGATTTTGTTTAAGCTTCCCTTGATAGAACATAGGATACCATAATTTAGGATGTAATTCATTCTGATAGTAATCATTTACACCTTTTGCGTACTCCAGCAAAACATTTTGAAATTCCAATTCTGACATTTTTTCATGACCTACTGGAGTACCTAAGTACTTACTTACGAAGGTAGACAATAATTTAAAAATTACACAGCAGTTTACCCTCATTGGATAATTATGGACCTAGATACCTGCTTCCTAGGCCTCTTGAAATCAGTATACTATTACATTTTTACAATATTTGGTACCTACCTACCTACTACATTATTTTCATTAATTAATTTGGATTTCCATATTTAAAAAAAATCCAACTAGGTAGGTATAGGTAATAAGTCGTAGAAATATTTTAATATAATAGCTCATAGGTTAAGGACAGGACACATGCCACTCAACAAATTTGGCTTCCTGATGAAAAAAGTAAGCAGTCCAAACTGTGAATACTGCGGGATTATTGAAGATGTGTATCACTTGTTGGTGGAATGTGCCCGTTATCAAAGGGAAAGGGACATCTTGTTGACAGATTTAAACATCAATAGGTTAGATTTGGGATCCTTGCCCTGTATATTATCCAGCCCTTCCAGTGAAGGAGCTTATAAGATTTATAAGTTTGTCAGGAGGTGTCTCAATCAATAAGAAGTAGTATTAGAAGTAGTTTAATTATTTTTTTTATATTCTTTTTAGCACAATGTGTGTTTAATAATGTTATTTACGAGATACGATGGGGCTGATATGGTAAGTGTCATAACCACAAAAAAAAAGTAGGTAGGTAGACATTTTAATTTAAATAATCAGATACTAGGTACCTGAATCAATCCAGTCGAATGCCCCACAATAATTGCTTCTCCATCAGGCGAGTATACCATACTACAAATGAAGCCACATTTCGACAAATAGTGCTCTTCGAATAAAGTTTTATTTTCTGTGTCCTTAAAAAATCTTTCATAGTTGTCCTGCAACCAAGTTATATCGGCCACACTGAGCCTTTTTTCAGCAAATGAAGGGAATGGTAATCTGGCATTTTCTTCTGTTCTTCGTAGACCATCTATTATTCGATGTCTAAATTCATTTACAAAAACCTGAATATCTGATGTACTTTCAGAAATATTGTAACGACTGTAAGTTGTTACTTGGTAGCTGGAAATGTTTTGTAATTTAGACATTGGATATATCTTGGTATACCAATTTATACTCTTTGCTCCTGGGTAAACGCAATTACTTATGTAGGTATAGTTTGATGGTAATTAATTTACCAGGTTATTATTTTACCAGGCAGATTAATAAGCTTTTACGGTAGTAGAATACTCTGAATTGACACTGTGTCAATAATAATTTGTAGTGACAGCCGATTTTATTTTAGATCTGATACCTATAAAGAACTTAGTGTCTCAAATAATTTCATTATCTTTAATGTACATGTTTAAAATCAAGCTCAAGATGATTTTATTTTGTCTAGGAAACCGTCTAAATTTATAGTTTTTAATAAATCAAATCAAAATTTCTAATCCTGCGTGTAACAAAACGCAACGCCGATTATTAGTACCTGGTAACACAGCAATTTGTGAAAGAGGGAGAAGATACATCGAGAACTTCACAAGATAAAGCGAGAAAGTAATATAGCCAACAACAACTACGAGAATAACCGACCAATGAACGAAGACTAACGATTGTATGGTCGCCATATTGTCATGTCAATTTTGTGACGGTGGTGGGTTCATTGTGTGTTATTTTATCAGAATATTGTAATAAATCTTTAATATTTATCCTTGCGGCTTAGGACAGGCAAGGCAAGTATTAATTATGTAAATTTAAATAGTGAAAAGCTAAAAGGAACGTAAGCGAATCGTTCAATTGAATACCAAACATTTTATGGGGTCGGGTGTGGTATTGGTATTTAGTCCATGGAGTACTTGTTTGTTTTGTTTTATTCGTTTCCTGAAGCCGTTGGATGCACGAAACGTGGTGCAGATTGAATTGTTTATGTTAATAAAAGTACCAAATGTATTTGTTTACTCAAAACCTTCGATCGATAGTTATGGCCGCTCATGGATCGGTAAAAATCATGATGTTTTTTTTTACAGGCGCAGGGTGCATTGTTGCATCCGCTGAACCATGAGTTATCAGATACCATCGTCCCAGAGTCGCACGAGTAAGTATAAAATCATAGTTTTGGCTATAATTTTTGTTTGTAATCGATAACTGCAGTAGATAGTAGGTTCTGTTCTAGATACTGATTATAGTTATGTAGGTACGTACTTAGAACTCGTTGTGACTGTAGTGACTCATTTTATAGGTATTATTGACTGAAGAGTTCATTCTTTACTATCAAAGATATCTAATTCATACCTGTACAGTTGAGTTGTACCTGTGTCTTGTTGGTTACCTGAGATTTTTTATGTTAATCCATTGTTCCTTACAGAGGTTGATTGTACCTTTCACATGTGTGATTGAAATTATTACTTACGTTTTTAGTCATGAATCATGCCATATTGCCGGTTTTCACTAAGTAAATTCAATTATATTGATTTCTGTTAAAAAATTAAAGTGTAATACAATTGTGCTAACAAGCATTAATATTAAGATCATCAAATATTAATGCATTCTAAAATTGATAATTAGTAAATTAGGTACTAAATAGAAGTATCAAATCCCATAACTAATGCTGAAGCAGTAATATACTGACACACTTTTTTGTAATTTTTACATCAGAAACATTTCAAATACCTGCTAAACAGAAAATTCTATGAGATCATAATAAATTACATTACAATATCAATATATATCATAAATAGATTTGTAAAAAAAAATACCCTTACATTGCCGATTTTAACCATCTGTGTTCTCTTCCTAGTGTCTCACAGCAACTATGCCGGATCTGATGTGCCAATGGCTCCGAGCAAGGAGCAGCAGACCCTCATGTGGCAGCAGAACTCCTACCTGGTTGACTCTGGTATCAACTCAGGGGCTGCTACTCAGGTAAGTCTACTTTTACTTTCAAATCAATTCATCAATGTACTTTCATTGTAAATCTTACTACTCTATGTATCTTAATTACCATTAATAATATAATGATGATATGCAGACTTTGACTTGGTTGACCATTGACAATGTTTGAGAAACTGTTTTTATTCAAGTTTTTGTTATATGGTGCCTCTTGACAATGGTGGTGTAGTTTGGCTTAAATTTACTGTATAAGCAATTTGATTGATTAATTATGTGCTACAGTTTGACAATCAACAAATAATAATTATGCGGGAATAACATGTCTTTTTCAAAGTGCACAAACATGAATATTGAAAATAAAAGATGATTCAATTTATTTTTAAAACAAAAAAATAAAATTGTATTCAGATCATGTTAGAAACTTAATAACCATCAAGGTGAAGTCATTAAATAAGATAACAGTTGGTAATAGAATGCTTTAAACTGAAATATTAATTATTAATTAATCATGAACCTCATTTAAGAATCAACTTATTTGGTTAAGAATGTGGCTCAGTTTTGTCATGATATTGGCATTAAATAGAAAACCCTTTCTGGTAGGTTTTTTTTTTGTGAAAGCAAAATCATCAAATGCCTTTTCCCGCCCAGGGTGGGGCGGGAGAGAGTGTCTGACTCTTACTGACTAAACCCCTCCCCCCTTTCGGTCTTCTGCTTTAGGCTGAGGATGTGGTGACTTATAGCGCTTGCCCCACAATCCAATCATGCCCCGCAACGTCAAAATTTTATGTGTCCCTTCAACAGATAAGTTATTAAAATTGAGACAGGCTGTAACCAAGATTTACTTAAGAATTGTATAAAACTGTATTTTAATTGAAATAAACAGGTTTAATAAAGAAAATTACTGAATAAAATCATAGTCAGAAATGAATATAATTCACAAGGACAGATTAGTGTCCAAGACACAATGTAACATATAACTTAATGCTTACACCATGTACACAAAATTTATTTTATTGTGTGTTTTTCTTCTCCAGGTCCCATCACTCACAGGCAAGGAAGATGATGAGATGGAAGGTGATCAGCTCATGTTTGATCTGGACCAGGGGTTCGCTCAAGGGTTTACTCAGGAGCAGGTTGATGGTAAGTTGACATACATTATGAGATACTTTAACTATATCATTTCATGTCCATTTAGTAAAATATGAATCCGTTTTTTGGATAGATATGAACCAGCAGCTGTCTCAGACTCGCTCCCAGCGTGTCAGGGCTGCCATGTTCCCTGAGACTCTAGAAGAAGGCATCGAGATCCCCTCCACTCAGTTAGACCCTGCCCAGCCAACAGCGGTTCAGCGCCTTGCAGAACCATCGCAAATGCTCAAGCATGCCGTGGTCAATCTCATCAATTACCAAGATGATGCTGACTTAGCCACCAGGTAAGGATGATTTGTTGATAATTTATGATTTTGTAATGATATTACTACTAGATAAATCTAAAAAAAAAACCATTTGAAATTACTTGAGTCTTGGTAAAGGTTTACTTACTAATGTTTTATTAAATTTTCAGGGCTATACCAGAGTTGATCAAGCTACTTAATGATGAGGATCAAGTGGTTGTGTCTCAGGCTGCCATGATGGTTCACCAGCTCTCTAAGAAGGAGGCTTCTCGCCATGCTATTATGAACTCGCCACAAATGGTCGCTGCTTTAGTGCGCGCCATCTCTAACAGCAATGACCTTGAGACCACTAAGGGAGCAGTGGGAACCCTGCACAACTTGTCTCACCACCGTCAAGGTTTGCTTGCCATCTTCAAGAGTGGTGGCATTCCCGCCTTGGTGAAGCTCCTAAGCTCACCCGTCGAGTCTGTTCTTTTCTACGCCATCACCACCCTCCATAACTTGCTCCTCCACCAGGACGGCTCCAAGATGGCCGTTCGTCTAGCTGGAGGTCTGCAGAAAATGGTGGCTCTTCTGCAGAGGAACAATGTGAAGTTCTTAGCAATTGTGACTGATTGTCTGCAGATCTTGGCTTACGGAAACCAAGAATCGAAATTGATCATTCTCGCTTCTCAGGGACCTATCGAATTGGTCCGTATTATGCGCTCCTACGACTACGAAAAGTTGTTGTGGACCACCTCTCGTGTCCTG